CTCTCTCTCCAGTCACTCTCTCTGTCTCTCTCTCTCACTCTCTCTCTCTCTCTCTCAGTCTCTCTCAGTCTCTCTCTCAGTCTCTCTCTCAGTCTCCTCAGCTCTCTCTCAGTCTCTCTCTCAGTCTCTCAGTTCTCTCTCTCTGTTCTCTCTGTCTCTGTCTCTCTCAAGTCTCTCTCTCTCTCAGTCTCTCTCTCTTTCTCTGTCTTCTCAGTCTCTCTCTCTCAGTCTCTCTCTCTCAGTCTCTCTCTCTCTTCGGTGGCCTTGGTGGCCCTGGTGGCCTTAAAGCTCCCGCTTCACACACAGGAGGGCCGGTGTTTCGATTCCCAGGCGGGTGGATACATTTCGACACGTTTCCTTACACCTGTGCGTCCTGTTCACTAGCAGCAAATAGGTACCTGGGTTATTAGTGACTGGTGTGGGTGCATCCTGGGCGACAAGATTAGGACCCCAATGGAAAATATGTTAGACAGTACTCGATGAGCACTGACTTTTCTTGGGTTATCCTGGGTGGCTAACCTCCGGGGTTAAAAATCGAACGAAAATCTTATCTTATCTTATCTCAGTCTCTCTTTCGTCTCTCTGTTCTCAGTCTCTCTATCTCAGTCTCTCTCTATTTCTCATTCTCTCTTTCTCATTCTCTCTTTCTATTCTCTCACTTTCTTCATTCTCTATTTTCTTTCTCATTCTCTCTTTTCTTTCTCATTCTTTTCATTCCTCTCTTTTTCTTTTCATACTCTCTTTCTTTTTTATTCATTCTCTCTTTCTCTTCTCTCTTTCTCATTCTCTCTTTCTTCTCATTTTCTTTCTTCATTCTTTCTTTCTCATTCTTCTCTTTCTCATCTCTCTTTCTTTCTCATTCTCTCTTTCTTTCTCATTCTCTCTTCTTTTCATTCTCTCTTCTTTCTCATTCTCTCTTTCTCATTCATCTCTTTCTCATTCTCTCTTTCTCCCATTCTCTTTCTCATTCTCTCTTTTCATTCTCTCTTCTCTTCTCTCTTTCTCATTCTTCTTTCTCATTCCTCTTTCCATTCTCTCTTTCTTCAATTCTCATTTATTGTTTTATCTCGCTTACTCACCTCTCAATTACATTAGGATTACAAGTATTTTAAGGTTAAGTAATGAGTGAACTGTATTGCATTTATGGCTCTGGGATGCTTTAAAATGTCGTAGTTTATTATGAGTGGGTGGGGTGCTGGCCTGGCCTGGCTGGCTTCCACCATACATCCCCACAACCTGACTTCCTACGCATATGGTCAGAGAATCGTCTTAAGTCCAAGTCGATTGATTAAACAAGGACGTCGCTAAGTGAGGAGAGGTTGTACAAAAAAATTAAAATAACTTTTACAAACACTTGAAATTTTGGAAGTTTTCCAGACATAAGGAGAGACGTGGTGCTTACGGAGCCTCATGGAGATTGTAAACGAACCGCGAGTGGGAGAGAAGTGACGGTTTAGAAAGTCAGGTGGGGGAGCCCTACAGCAGTTTTGGATTCATAATTGAAATGTCTGCATTAGCGGAACGCCGTAAAGTGAAAACGCTGAATGCCAGGGCCCTACTGATCTAGTTTTAAAAAAAAAATCAAGTTCATGTTAGACTTGGGTTTTCATATTAGACAGGTTGTTTAAATTTTTTTTATTTTTTTATACTTGGCACAAGACACAAATTAAAAAAACTAACAAACATTACCTTTACCTTTGATATACCTTTGAAGAGTTTTGCGAGTTTCACTTATCCTCAGAGCCAGCCATGGGCCAGGCTCATCTGGTGCTTGCTGGTCAACCAGGCTGTTGCTGCTCGGTGCCCACTGCCACACAATCCATCACTTAAGGTGAAATCCAACAAACAAAGGTGTTTTCTTTCCTTTTTATTCCTTTCTTATGACAGTCTTTATAAACCAGTTTAAGAAGTGATATTTAAGGAGATACCATTTTAAAGAAACTTTGTTAAAAAATTAAAGTTGTGATTTAGGTGAACGTATATAGTACATAAATGAAATTATTACCCTCAGACAGTGAATTACTGGTATCAAAATAGGGGGGTCAGTGCACTTAAGCAAATTTGTACAAAGCAATACCACATAGAGCAGGGAAAAAAGGTTATGTTAAAAAATTCTAGGACTGCATTATAATAATGTCATTAAAGCATAAAGCCGTGTCTTCAAAAAAACATTGGAAAAGCAGAAAATCAGAACAAAATGAGCATGCATCATCTATCTAAAATAGAAATTTGTTTGAAAAATTGAGTTTCCTACAACCCCCAAGATGGAGGTCAGAATGTA